CAAATTTCATTTTAATAATCTTTATATCTAAAAATGACTTAATCATTAACTATCGGTTAGAGAAATATCTTTAGTGTGAATTTAAAAAAGTTAATTTATATCTGTATATATATATATAACTTTTACGCCTTTGAGAATTCAAATATTTTATGTTAATTATAAAATAAATTTATTAGCATTAAATAAATTTAATTAAATCAATTAAACACAAATAATCTTTACTGGTTATTTGAAATATAATTGTCTCTTAATCTTAATCTTAACATTATTAAATTCAAGATAGTCTCTAATTTTTTTTTTTTTTTTTGCGTTATAACTAAGAAAATGTGCAAAATTTCACAAATTAGTACTCTTTCTACCACTTTGTTAATACATAAATGAAATAGTCTTAAGAAAATTATTAGATTTCTTTTATATAGAACATCCATGTTGATAAAATAGCTTGAATAATCCTCTTTACGATGAGAAATTAAAAAAACAAAGAATGAACATGTCATTATACATGTCAAATTCAAGGTTTGACATGCAGTTAGATAATAAATCCATATCTATCTATATGTATATTTATATCTATATTCTACATATCATTAAAGGTAGAATAATCTCCTTAAAAAAATTCACTCAAAACTACATAGCATGTGCCTCTTGTTTTTTAAAATTCTTTTACCTTTTAGAATTCAAACATTTCATATTTGTTTTAAATAAAAGTTATTAATTTTGAATAAATTAAATGACATCAACTAAATACACTATTTTTAATAATTTTTTAATGTCAACCATGTGTTTCCATTGATTTTTATTTGATTTTTTTTTTTATAGATTTTATGAGCTTTTTGTTTAGTCTCTATTTTATTTTTTATTCTCTTCTTTCATCTACTACTTTGTTAATTTTTGGCCTTTTATTTTTTTGTTTGTAGTATCAAATTTTTTGTTCACTTTCTTTTGTTTTTTTTTTGTAGATGATGGATTGATGGCTCCTTATGCCTATTTATGGGCATTAACAAGGATGGAGGCTCATGTCATCGTCAGCCTGGTGAACCAATAAGAGATAAGGATCAACCTTATCATCATTGCAACTATGTCCAATTGCAAAGAGGAAGGAATTATCTACTCTAGTAATTAGGAGTGGAAAATCACCCAAGATACAATGGACACTATGTTGTATCCCTCTCCTCGTTTGGCAGATAAGACGAAGTTGAAGTACCTTTGTATATCATACCTAAAGCCCTAGTCCAGGCTACTTCACAACTTATTGTTCAACACATGTACTTCCTCATTGTTTCTAATGTAGACCATTTGTGCCTCTGCCACCTTTTCCTCAATTTGCATATCAACTTGCCCAATTTTGTTTACAACCATTGGAAGCCTTGTCTCGACTAGAGAGATCAGGAAAAGAGAAAAATACCCATTCCTTATGGGATGCTCTTTGCTAAGATAATCGTGAGGGCTGACATTGACACATTTGATTATCAAAAAGGTAAAGAGAATGGTGAAGTCACCACAACCACCCTAAAACAAATGGGGATTGCCCATTTGGTCCCTCAAGTCCAAAGGCTCACTTTTGTAATAAACACTAAGTCTTAAGAGGGCCACAATTGAAGAAACCAACCACCAACCAATGCACCCTCCACAACCATCCATAAGCCCAAACACTTATCCAAACACCTTTTCCCCTTCCAACCCAAACACAAGCCCCTCCTCCCCTACCCAAAATCAAAATAAAAACCTTTGTACCCAAGCCTATTCACACATATTCACATTCATGAATCCTCATCTGACTCAGATGACAAATCTATTTCTTTTTGTTTTTCTTTCCCACAACCTACTTCATCTCTACGACCACCACCACAACTTGCTCTTGAAGAGTCTAAGCCCTAATAATCTAGGAAAATACAATTGGTATGAGGATTTGTTGATCCTTATACCAAAAAGGAAGAGCACATGCTCTTTAAGCATGCCAAACTTCTGTCTAAACTAGAGGTAGAAGAGCAAAATAAGAAGATGATTTAACCACTGAAGAAACTAAGATGCTCGCGGAAGCTTTGCGTCTCTCCATTGAGAATCTCACCACTACAACAAACTCATTTGTCTAGGTTAATCTAAGGCTCTAGTCTTCAACACAACAAGGATTGTCTAATAAGGATGGGAGTCTTCAACCAACACAGACCAATGAGTTTGCTATTCAAATGTTGACATTAGACATTGCCGCTCCACTAGTCCAAGACACACACCTACTCCTATTGGAGGCCATCCCATTGAATGCATATACCTCCTTGTTGGTACCAAATCCCAAAGGCCTAGAAGCTTTTGCATCTATTGTAATTCCTAGTGACGATATTAACAACATGGGTGTCGACTTTAAGGAAGTTGTAGAGATAGAATGTCTAAAGGAAGAAGGCACAATTGATAAGGAGTCTTGGGAAACACCTGTGTATGATTCTACCAGGTACTCTCCCTACTTGAACATGAAAGAATACCTCTAGAAGTGCCATATAGAAGAGCAACCCATTATCATCCATCTCAGAACCATCCTTGCAATAGATTTGAGACTATTGAACATTTATTCTCCACCTCCTTTGGATACTCAAACCCTTCGCCTCATTAATCAACTACACCATGAACTTTAAGACAAATACCATATGTGGACTGATTTAGAGTTAAGTTATGAAGGAACCCCTTATCAACTTCCTCTGATGATTGGAGGCCCACAAAGGATGTGCACGATTTAACCTTGGATTAAGTTCTCCATTGCTGATTCAAGACCCATGACTACTCAATACTCTATTTGGAAAAAAGGGAGGAGAAATAGGCCCAATATGTAAAGGATTTAAGGCATATGAGGTATGGCTGATGCCATCAATATGGTGATTCCATCATAGACAAGAAGTATCTTATCTACTCCATGGGATGTTGCTACCAACAAACTCCACCCTCTACTTCCACAAGTCCAACTAGCACCGATACTTTGTATCCATCACACCACATCTACCATTAATATCTTATACCCTAAGATCACTTGGTTGATAATACATGTATGAGAATATTGATGTATGTTGAAATGTTTCTTCCTAATTACATGATTTACTTTTGTAATGGGTATAAGAGTATAATTTTATCAAATGTTATGTGAAATTATGAAATCATTTTCATTAAAATAATAAAAAAGTTACATGTGCGTTATGTGACTTATGTTGATTGTATATGGCAGATGCACATATCAGTAACTTGAAACACTAAACAAACACATTAGATAAGTTCTCCTTGAGACACGTGTGATGGGAGTAACCTTAATAACTTATCTGTGGTATATGCACAAGCCTCAAGATACAATAATGTTGTCTCAAGTAACTTGAGGAACAAAATTGGCCAAGGACGAGAACCCATAAGAGATAAGAGAGAGAGTTGAAGTGTTTTTGAGATGATTAAATAGTGATGCAGAGGCCTTTATTTATAGACTCATGGAGCTCTTTATTTATAGGGTTATGGAGCTCTTGTAAAGCCCGTAAACCATCCAAAAGTTAAGGGATAAACTTATCCAAATATTAGAGAATAAAATATTATATTTGGTAAGGTCAGACGAGATTTTTAAGACGATCAACTCTTAAATTGAAACATAAAAAATGCTCATATTTGGATAAGGTTTATCTTAATTAATTAAAATAATTTAGTATAATCACTACAAGAAAATATTGAAATATCTACGGAAAATAAGTGTCAGCCAATAGTTGATGCAAATACTGTTGGTCAATTTAAGATGTAGCGTTAACTTTTTCAAGACTAAATTTAAATTAAATTTAGTATCGGAAAAGTTGATGCAATTATTTAAATATAGCATCGACTTTTTCGATACTAAACTTAATTTATGTTAGTGTCAGAAAAGCCGATGCTATATTTAAAAAATAGCATTGACTTTAAAATAGCATTGACTTTTCTGACACAAACTTAAATTAAGTTTATTGTCGAAAAAGCCAACAATATTTCTTTAGATATAACGTTAGCTTTTCTGACACAAACTTAAATTAAATTTAGTGTCGGAAAAGCCAACACTATTTCTTTAAATATAGCGTCGAATTTTCCGACACTAACATAAATTAAGTTTAGTGTCAGAAAAGTCAATGCTACATCTTAAATAATAACATCAGTTTTCCGATATTATACATGCTTTGAGAATGATAAAGATAATTTTGTGCAATCTTATTATATACGCATAATGTTTCATGGAGCAGTTGGTTAACAAGTTACTTTAATATCCTGAGGGTTCAGGATCGAGTCTCGGTAATGTTAAGTTTAGGTGAATAAATGGTAAGCTAAAAAAATGCGAGTGAATAAATGGTAAGTTGAAAAATGAATAAAAAAAAAAAAAAAAACTAAACTTAATGTCGGCTTGGTGTCAGCTAAATTGATAATAAAAAATTAAAATAAAAAAAATTATTAAGTTAGTGTCGACTACACTAACAATAAATCGACTATAAAAAAAAATTATTTTTAACAATTTGACCGACACAAAAAATTTGTGATTTTATTTTTAACAACTTGACCAACATAAAAAATTTGTGTCAACTTAATTAGAATTAACTAAAAAATCAACAAATGATCAATGATAAATATAATTTTATATAATTTTTTATTATTTAGAGTCAATTTTTAATCGACTCTAAAATCAAATATTTGTGTACTGAATAAAAAATAAAAATATTTTCAGAGCCCAAGACTCATTCTCATGGACAGAACTCGACATTCATTACTTCTTTGAAAGTATTAGAAACAATTTAATATATAAAAATTCAAATTTTACAAAAATCAAACAATTTAAGACTTCTTTTGAAATAGACACTCATTTATGTCACACATGCAAACTTATGCAATAACTTAATCATGAGAGGGTAAAGTTGTCTTTTAATCAATCCTCTTACGTCCACTTGACACACGTGCAGTGGCAGCCATGAACCTTAGCAGACAACGTATTGACATATTTCGTTTGTTTTTTACAAATAACAATTGACGCACAACGTGGTGCCAATGCCAACTACTTCTAAAGTGTAACGTGGATTTATGGCTTGCACACCTAACATATCCTCGTAGTGCAAACATGAATCATATATGAGTAAATATATTATTTTGATAAACTATTTTTTCTTAAACAAAAACTATTTTGGTCAGAGAGCCATTATTGGACATTGCTCGAGGCTGAGACCGGTTCTGGCTGGCAATTGGCCAGATTCGTGCCTACAAATTATAATAGTCTTGTTCTTTTTCTTTTCTTTTCTTTCTGGAATCAATCATAGTTTGTAGAACACATTTTGAGAGTGGATCAACATGGAACAATCCTCAAACGACGAGATCACAGCCCCTCTCCGTAAGCCCTCATTGCTATAATTAAGCTTCTATGTCACTAATTAATTTCTTATAATCCCTGGTGCATGCATGCAATTAACATTATCTTGTCTCACCTTTTAATTTCATATTTAATTTAATTAATGTGTTGTGTTAATTATGTAGTATCTAATGAGGAGGAAGATGAAGGTGGGAGCAAGAGTGAAGAGAACTCGCCCATAAAACAAGTGGCGCTAACGGTGGCAACGAGCGATGACCCATCGCTTCCGGTTCTGACGTTCCGAATGTGGGTGTTGGGAACCCTCTCGTGCGTGCTCCTATCGTTCCTGAACCAGTTCTTCTGGTACCGCACCGAGCCTCTCACCATCACCGCCATCTCGGCGCAGATCGCGGTGGTGCCGCTGGGTCAACTCATGGCTGCAACAATCACCAAACGCGTCTTCTTCCAAGGAACACGCTGCGAATTCACCCTCAACCCAGGTCCCTTCAACGTGAAGGAGCACGTTCTCATCACCATCTTTGCCAACTCTGGCGCCGGCACTGTCTACGCCATTCACGTTGTTACCGCTGTTAAAATCTTTTACCGCAAACACATCTCGTTTTTTGTTTCCCTGCTTGTAGTCATTACCACACAGGTAGCTACTTATTTTGACTTACACTTATACCCCTACCTAACTTTTCATTTCCTCTTCAAATTTTTTAGAAGGCTTGTTTGGCAGTGCACCAATAAAAGAAAATTCATGTGTAAAAAACTTAGTACTGCATGCATTAATATAGACTGTATCCAATGGCAGGTATTGGGTTTCGGATGGGCTGGCATATTTAGAAGATACTTAGTGGAGCCAGCGGCAATGTGGTGGCCAGCAAATTTAGTTCAAGTTTCGCTCTTCAGGTAATAATACATAGTAACAAATTAATCTACATTTAATTACACGGTTAATTAATATAGGAAGAGTAGTTAGCTAGTGATGACTTGACATTTATAGTGCGTAAAATATCAGCACCTACCATTCGCATCAAAACATAAATATATTTATGATTTTTTAGTTTAGCTATATGTATTGTCGTCACTCATTCTTGTGTGGTTGTTGCGGCTGGAACAAGTTGTTGTACCAAGTTATATCATTCCTTACTTTCACAACTCATTTACAATAAGTATAGAGCGAACATCGCTTTCAACCGGGACGCCAACGTCCAGTGCTTCTTTAAATTTCGTAAAATATAAATATACTTTTTAAAGACTTTCAATTCAGTTCTATTTTTATTTTTAGTTCAAATGTATTTTTGTCCTGTTAACAAATTTTTATTTTATTATCTTGGTTTAAATATATTTTTAGTTCTTTAAATTTAGGATAAAATTATTTTTAATTTCTCAATTTTTTTTCAAATTTAAAATTATTATTTTTAGTTTATGTAATTTTCAAGAATTTTATTTTAATCTTTCAGGTCACCAATAACATATTTGAAAGTAACATACTGAAACAATTATACAGTTTTAATTAAGTTTAATATAATATGCTTATTAATAAGAAAATCAATAAATAAATTTTATGTGACAATATTTAATAGATTATTTAATAAAATTTAAGTATAGAAAACTAAAACAAGATTTTAAGTTACTAGTTTTAAATTTAAGCGTTAAAAATAATTTTATCTTAAATTTAAGGGACAAAATTTTTTTCCCTTAAATTTAAAAGATCAAAAATATATTTAAGTCCTTTTTTTTGCTAAGCAATATATTTAAGTCCTTTATCTTTATAAAATTATTTCTTTATTTTTTATCTTTTAAATTTTGAAATCATTGTTTTTGATAAAATATGCGAGTTTTAATTTTAATTATTTTACAATGATTTTATTTAATTATTTATTTTAGAAGTGTCACATATTAATATAATATTATGGATATTAATAAGTGTCACCTAAGAGTCATTTGACATCTGGTTGAACATGAAACAATAATGAATGATATGTAATAACATAGACCAAAATAAATTATTTTCAATTTAAAAGAATAAAAATAACAACAATGAAAAATCAAAGTTAAAATTCTCTTATTTTACAAAGATTAAAAATATATTTAATTCATTTTTATTTTTATACTATGAACCAATCCAGCATGACCGTTTCATTCAAAATATATTTAATCTTTTAATAATTATTTTAATAGTTATAAATGAAACATTATATAATCAGTTAATAGAGTATAAACATTTTTATAATGACATTATATTAAAACTAGTGCAAAAATAACACTGCGAGCCTGTCTGTTCACATTTTTTTTAATATTAAATTTGATTTAATTATTGAAAATGATTAATTTGATATGATGGTCTAAAAATGAATAATGAGTGTAGTGGACATATTAGAAAGTAATTAAAGGGTAAAGTAGTGACTAATTTAAGGTAATTAAAGGACTTTATTTGCAGGAAAACTAAATAATGAGTGTAGCGGCCACAAGCTTCATTTTGTTTGGTCTTGACTAAGATAAGCAAGTAGGAAAACTAAGTGAAGGAATTTGGAAGTTATTTATTTATTTATCTATCTTCTTGTTTCGGATTAGTTTTTTGGAAAACCAACTTTAAACTTATAGAAAGTAATTTTACTTATAAAAAAATTATTTTATTTTATTTTCAAAAATACTTAGTGAGAAGTTTATTAAACTATAGAATATATCTGTTTTTTTGATTTAGTTTTTATAGGAAAATGCAAAGAAAGGTTTTGAGTTTTGAGTTGTGTGACACATTGTTAATTATTTATTTATTTGTTGGTTACACTGCTTCACACAGGGCTCTGCACGAGAAGGACGAACGACCAAAGGGAGGGTTAACGCGATCTCAGTTCTTCGTAATCGCATTTTTGTGCAGCTTCGCCTATTACGTATTCCCGGGCTACATTTTCCAAATGTTAACCTCTCTCTCTTGGATATGCTGGTTATTTCCCAACAACGTTCTGGCCCAACAGCTTGGTTCGGGCCTATATGGGCTTGGCATCGGAGCAGTTGGGCTTGACTGGTCCACCATTTCATCCTACCTCGGGAGCCCACTCGCCAGCCCATGGTTTGCCACTGCCAACGTTGCGGTGGGTTTCGTGTTCGTCATGTACATTCTCACTCCACTGTGCTATTGGCTCAACGTGTACGATGCCAAAACCTTCCCCATTTTCTCTGACGAACTTTTCACCGATGAAGGTAAAGTTTATAACATCACTGCCATAATAGACTCCAATTTCCACCTAGACCTTGCGGCGTATGAGCGACAAGGTAGATTGTACCTCAGTACTTTCTTTGCCATGACCTACGGGGTTGGCTTTGCTGCACTTTCTGCCACCATTATGCATGTTGCTCTCTTTCATGGACGGTGCGTAGTAATTTCATTTCTCAACTACATAAAATAACATATAATTAATTTAATTTAACTTTCATATTCATTTTAATTATTTAAATTTATTTTTCACTCATTGATTTTTATTAAGTGTTCAAATTTAATGTTAATTTATTATTATGTGGTATCACTTATATTTAATGATATAAAATTTAAAAATAAAATAAATATAAGAAATAGGTTTAATGATAAATTAATTATTAAAATAAATATAAATAAAAATATTTTATTTTTTATTATTCAATATCATGTGATATGGTTGCCAATCTTAAAATTTATAATTAGCTGTCATTAATGATAAATTAAAATTTTTAGTTTTAAAATTGTGATTATTTTAATATGTCATGGTGATGGATTCAATTACATTTGGTTATGTTTAGGTAGTGTATCCATTATATTTAAAATAGGCGATGAAAAATTGAAAATACATGCAGAGAAATATGGGAGCAAAGTAAGTCAAGTTTTAAGGAAAAGGGCATGGACATTCACACGAAGCTTATGCGGAGGTACAAGCAAGTTCCTGAATGGTGGTTCGTGTGCATACTCATCGCAACCATTGCAACTACCGTTTTCACTTGCCAATATTTCAACGAGCAGCTGCAGTTGCCTTGGTGGGGTGTTCTTCTCGCATGTGCCATTGCCATTTTCTTCACGCTCCCCATAGGGATTATTACTGCGATCACAAATCAGGTCCCTACGTAATAATAATTTTCTCAATTAATTATATGTTACAGTTAGTGATAGTACGTGTGTGTATATCACATTTCACATGCTACTTTTAATTCTTCTTGTTTCTTTAATTAATTACAGTCTCCGGGGTTGAACATAATCACGGAATACATCATAGGGTACATCTACCCAGGATATCCTGTGGCTAACATGTGCTTCAAGGTTTATGGTTACATTAGCATGACGCAGGCCATCACTTTCTTGCAAGACTTCAAGCTTGGTCACTATATGAAAATCCCTCCCAGAACCATGTTCATGGCACAGGTTATTTACCTTTCATTTCAACACCTTAATTGTAGTACGAGGGTGATTTTATAAAAGTACTTGAAATTTGTTAATCGATTAGGTTGTTGGAACGCTTATTGCGGGTATTGTGTACTTGGGTACTGCGTGGTGGTTAATGGAAACAATCCCGGACATATGCGAAGACACATCCTCTGTTTGGACGTGTCCAAGTGACACAGTGTTCTACGATGCATCGGTTATTTGGGGTTTGATTGGGCCGCGAAGAATATTCGGAGACCTAGGAACCTACGAGAAGGTGAATTGGTTCTTCCTGGGTGGAGCCGTTGCTCCATTACTCGTATGGTTAGCTGCGAGGGCCTTCCCACAGCAAGAGTGGATCAGGCTCATAAACATGCCGGTGCTGATAGGAGCCACGGGAATGATGCCTCCCGCAACCGCAGTGAATTACACTAGCTGGATCATTGTGGGCTTTCTCTCGGGCTTCGTTGTGTTCAGGTACAGGCCCGAGTGGTGGCGGCGTCACAACTATGTGCTCTCTGGTGCCCTTGATGCGGGCCTTGCCTTCATGGGGGTGCTTTTGTATCTCTGCCTTGGATTGGAGGACATTAGCATCAATTGGTGGGGAAACGACCTTGATGGTTGTGCCTTGGCTCACTGCCCCACCGCCAAAGGATTACAGGTTCAAGGCTGTCCCGTTTTCACTTGAACATCGTTAAAGGTTTCCGGAAAATACCCACTACGTCTAGTGGTTAGCAAATTAATTATAATTTTTTATTAAAAATATATTTCTAAACTCTTTAGCATAACTTTTATTATTATTTTTTTTAATGAAGATTTTTTTATGTGCCGAAGACATTAGTTAATGATAAGGATGAAAATGTAAATCAATCTACCAATTCACTTATTTTTTTTATGTATTGAGTTGAATATATAAAATTTTCAACCCCTCCAACTTATCAATCCACTTTATTTACACTTTATTTTATGTGAGTCAAAATATTAAATCAATCATGATAAAAACTTCTCGAGTAACAATTCTCCACGGCCCATATCACTGCACTACCTTCACTGCCATATTGCTACACCGCTTACGAAATTCTCTTTTTACTGCACCTCCATAATGAGTTTCTTAAGCATCAAGTATTATGACTTTCTTAGACATTAAGTATTGTTTTTATTAATACTTTATTATATTGTTGTTAGATCACGGAAAGAATATATGCATAATATCTGCATAATCTTTTATTATAAATGTTACCTTAATTGTAGCATATTTTCACTCATATTTTGATGTATATATTTTACCAATGAATAAGAATCAGACACGCAGGATTTCCAACATAGTATCAGAGCCATTTAGATTCACTTTAAAAATGGGCTACCCACCATTGATGTATGCCTCATAGGCATGAGGGGGTGTATTGGGAAAAATCCAAGTCCCGCCAATCCTAGATCATTAAAAAGGGCCACCCACCATTTATCTACGTACCAAGCCCAATAGTGCTGGACGTGAGGGAGTGTATTGGGAAAAACCCAAGTCCCACATCGACTAGAGATTAGGCAATTGAATAGTATATAAGTGGAAAGCAACCCTCACGAACCTAGGTCTAATCCTAGTTGAATCAAAACCCTAGCCACGCTCCACCCCATCTCACTTCCTCACCCTTCTCTCTTCTTCCTCTCATAATCAATGGCCGAACAAACCAAATTCCATCCTGCCTTGGCCGAAAATAATGTAAAAAATTTCATCTCCATTACTTTAGAGATGGACAAGGGACACTATTCTTCGTGGGTGGAGTTGTTTAAGATACATTGTCGAGCATACCAAGTTCTTGATCATATTATCCCACCAAAATCAAAGCCAACCGAGCAGGAAACACAAACAAATGCCGAGACAGATAAAGCATTATGGTCACGCTTGGATGCAATTGTCCTTTAATGGATTTATGGTACGATTTCCACTGATCTTCTGCACAACATCTTGGAACCAGGATAACAAAAATTCTCGTGCAGTTTACCTGGAAAATCAATTCACTCATGTTCATATGGACAATTATCCTAACATCTCGGCCTATTGCCAATAACTCAAAACGCTTGTCGATCAACTCTCTAACGTTGGTGCACTGGTTTCAAATCAAAGGTTAGTTCTTCAATTAATTGCAGGTTTAAATGAGAACTACGATGGTGTTGCTACATTCATTCAACAGAGTAATCCTTTACCGCCTTTTTACGAGGCAGGATCGAGGCTAATCCTTGAAGAAACACGCAAGGCTAAACAGGTCACTGCCACTACCAGCGCTGTCGGCACCGCCCTCCTCACCACCAATGGTTCCAACGATGATGCCTCTGCCTATGGACGAAATTTGACTGCAGGTTCTGGTAATACATCAAATCGCAACAATAATGGTCCGAAACGCAGTCAAAATCGCAATAATACTCGAGGTAAAGGAAAAGGTCGTGGCAACTACAACCACGATGGTGGACAGCAGCAACAACAACGCCCATGGCAGCAGCAACAGCGTCCGTGGCAGCAACAACGTCCATGGCAGCAACCATCTCAATGGGCATCATACCCACCGTGGGGGCCTTGGGGACAACAACCATGGGTTGCTCCTCCACCTTGTCCTTACCCCACCTCATCTTGGGCTCGTCCACCTCCTGCTCATCAGGCCGGAATTCTTGGCAAGCGTCCACCTCAAGCATATAGTGCACAAGCGCCACCTCCTTCGACCTATGCACCTACCGACATTGATGCGGCAATGCACCATTTATCTCTTAATGTTCCTGATGAAAACTGGTACATGGATACCGGTGCAACTTCGCACATGACTGCATCTCCAGGTACTCTCTCGTCTTATTTTAATATGAGCACTAACAAAAATATCATTGTTGGCAGTGGACAAGAAATTCCAATTCGTGGTTTTGGACAGACATTCCTTTCCCCACCTTACCCACCTTTAACCTTAAACAATGTTTTACATGCCCCGAAACTCATTAAAAATTTGATATCTGTGCATCGTTTTACCATTGACAATAATGTCTCTATTGAGTTCGATCCTTTTGGTTTTTTTGTGAAGGAGTTTCAGATGGGGATCCCGCTCATGAGATGTGATAGCACCGGCGATCTATATCCTATCACCACCACCACCAGACATCAGCCCACCTCCTCATCCACCTTTGCAGCTCTCTCTCCTGTTTTATGGCATAATCGTCTGGGACACCCAGGAGCACCTGTTTTACACTCCCTTAGGAATAATAAGATTATTGAGTGTCAACCATTTTCTGCTTCTTCTGTTTGTCAATCTTGCATATTTGGTAAACATATTAAGTTGCCTTTTTCTATTTCAAATTCTTTCACTATAAAGCCTTTTGATATAATACACAGTGATTTATGGACATCACCAATTTTAAGTTCGACAGGCCATAAGTATTATCTTCTTCTCTTGGATGATCACACTAATTTTTTATGGACATTTCCACTTGGACAAAAATCACAAGTTCATTCCACTTTCTTGTCTTTTCATACACTCATTCGAACCCAATTTGAGACAAATGTTAAATGTTTTCAATGTGATAATGGGAGGGAATTTGATAACGACTCATTTAAGAAATTTTGCTACACCAACGACATGGTGTTTCGTTTTTCTTGCCCTCACACTTCTCCACAAAATGGAAAAGCCGAATGTAAAATACGAGCAATCAATAACCTAATCCACACTCTTCTTGCTCACTCTTCCATGCCACCATCATTTTGGCATCATGCTCTCCAAATGGCAACATACCTCTTAAACATTCTACCTAGCAAAATACTCTCTAATTATTCCCCAACTCAATTTCTTTACCATCGAGTTCCCTCTTACACACATTTACGAGTTTTCGGGTGTTTATGTTATCCACTTTTCCCCTCCACCACAATAAATAAGCTACAAGCCCGTTCCACCCCATATGTTTTTTTGGGATACCCACACAATCATCGAGGATATAAGTGTTATGATTTGTCTAATCAAAAAATCATTATCTCTAGACACGTCAACTTTGATGAATACAAATTCCCCTTTGCCGAGCTGCATACTCCATCTCTCGTTACCTACAAATTTTTTAGTGAAGGTCTACATCCTCTTCTGTACCATCATCTTCAAAGTCAGCAAGAACCAGATTCCATTGTAGCCCAACCTCCCCCATCGGCTCCCCCAAGCCCCAGTCCAGAAACCACCTCCCCTCAGCCCTCTCTTTCATTTAGATCAAACTCACACCCTACTTCTCTGTCCACCTCTCCACCTACATCCAACAATACCACAACATGCCTCAGCCCACCATCCAAAGCAAGATCGCCAACTCCCTCACCTAACCCACAACAGCACCAAACCAACCTAGCCCCATCCCGATCCATGGCAACACGTAGCATGAATGGGATCTTTAAGCCTAAACGTCAATTCAATTTGATTTCCTCGATTACACCATCCCCCCTTCCCCGTAACCCAAAAGTGGCTTGGTCTGACCCGAATTGGAAAGCAGCCATGATAGATGAATTTGATGCTCTTATTAAAAACAAGACTTGGGAGTTGGTACCCCGTCCCACTGGTGTTAATATTATTCGTCCAATATGGATTTTTCGTCATAAAACTAAATCTGATGGTTCTTTTGAGAGGTACAAAGCTCGTCTTGTTGGTGATGGCAGGTCTCAACAAGTTGGCGTGGATTGTAATGAAACATTTAGTCCCGTGGTGAAACCAGCTACTATTCGGACTGTTCTCAGTATATCTCTGTCCAAATCTTGGCCCATTCACCAACTCGATGTTAAAAATGCATTCCTACATGGTCAACTTAATGAAACTGTCTACATGTACCAACCGATGGGTTTTCGAGATTCTGTCCATCCAGAGTATGTGTGCCTATTGAAGAAATCTCTCTATGGCCTCAAACAGGCCCCCCGTGCTTGGTATCAACGGTTTGCTGATTTTGTCTCCACTATTGGCTTCTCACATAGCAAATCTGATCATTCTCTATTTATTTATCGACAAGGAAATGACATGGCATACATTCTTCTTTATGTTGATGACATCATTCTCACTACATCAACTAATGCTCTTCGTCGCTCTATCATGTAACACCTTGCTTCTGAATTTGCTATGAAGGATTTGGGCCCTTTAAGCTATTTCTTGGGCATTGCAGTTCAACAACATGTCGGTGGTTTATTTCTTAGTCAACGAAAATATGCATAAGAGATTATTGAACGAGCTGGCATGACCTCTTGTAAACCTGCAACCACACCGGTGGACACTAAGGCTAAATTGAGTATTTCTTCAGGATCTCCCTACGAAGATGCTACACATTATCGCAGTTTAGCGGGAGCATTGCAATATCTTACATTCACGAGACCAGATATATCCTATGCTGTGCAACAGGTTTGTTTACATATGCATGACCCGAAGGATGAACATATGAATGCACTTAAACGCATTTTGCGATACATTCAAGGCACTCTTGACTATGGTTTACATCTTTACAAGTCTGCAATCTCTAGTCTCATCTCTTACACTGATGCTGATTGGGGTGGATGCCTTGATACAAGACGCTCCACCTCTGGATACTGTGTTTTTCTTGGAGACAACTTGATATCTTGGTCCTCTAAATGTCAACCTACCTTGTCTTGGTCTAGTGCAGAAGCCAAGTACAGAGGGGTCGCTAACGTTGTCTCTGAGTCCTGTTGGATCTGGAACCTCCTCTTGGAACTACATTGTCCGATTGACAAAGCTACATTAGTTTACTGTGATAATGTTAGTGCCATATATCTCTCAGGCAATCCTATTCAACATCAACGCACTAAACATATTGAAATGGACATCCACTTCGTACGTGAGAAAGTTGCTCGTGGACAGGTTCGTGTTCTTCATGTTTCGTCCCGTTATCAAATTGCCGACATCTTTACTAAAGGACTTCCGCGCATCCTCTTTGATGATTTTTGAGACAGCCTCAGCGTACGACAACCTCCCGCTTCGACTGCGGGGGTGTGTTAGATCACGGAAAGAATATACGCATAATATCTGCAGAATCTTTTATTATAAATGTTACCTTAATTGTAGCCTATTTTCACTCATATTTTGATGTATATATTTTACCAATGAATAAGAATCAGACACGCAGGATTTCCAACAATTGTGATTGCCTATAAAAGGTAGCGAGGCAGTGAATGTAAAAAAGGTGAATTAATAAAATTGTATATCAAAAAACTCTTCCTCCATCTCTCTCGTTAAGTCTTCCGCTGAGTAGGTGAGTTTTATCTATCGTTATCCCATTAATATAACAATTCGTACTAGAGCTTGAGAGTCTAGAGCATGAAAGTCTAATGGTAGTGTGAGTGAAAAAAAAAATATTGTATGAGGAATGAGAGGCTTCTAATTTTATAAAAATAATAATGGAGAGTTGTTATATTATAAATTATAATATTATTTGGTCTCATCTTAAACTAGATGAAAAATTAAATTTTAGCTATTGGAAAATTTTGATGGTCACACATTAATTGAGAGCTCACAATATTTGAAATTTTGTTAAATCAAAATTAGTAGAAAAAGTTGATGATACTGTTAGGGGGACAAATTAGTTGTGTTGTCACAAATTTATCAAGGTGTACACTATTATATTCTGCAAAATTATAAATGTTAAAACCGGTAAAGAAGTGTGAAATATTTTGAAGCCATCATATAAAGGAGTTGAAAAGGCTAAAAATCCAAGTGACAATCTCTATGAAAGGAATATGAAAGATTTACAATGTTAAATTTTCAATGGAACAATATTTTTTGTATGTTATAGATCTTGTCAATAAAATGAAAGTGTATGAAAAAAAATATTTATGATGGTAAAGTAGTGGAGAATATATTTTTCGAATCATATAAATGAAGTTTAATTGATCATGTAATAGCTATGATAATTGAGTCCCATATCACAAATTCTAACCATAGCAGAGTTGTAAGGAAATATTGAAAGCCATAAACAATTCAAAAAATTCATGTGAATTAGTAGGGATTAAGACACGGTGTCATTTGCAAAATTGCAATGATATTAGTGATCAAAATTCCGGTATGGAATTAGTGTTTTTTCCTTTTCCCTCTCGCTCCAATGCTACTGGTCATACTTTATGTTGTTAAGCTTATTTTGCATTCAGTTCGATTTATTGTGTGTATGCTACACGAGTAAATTACTAAATATTATAGTCTTCATTTAATAGCACATTATTGGAGATTTACATATATGTTTGATGGGTGATCCTGTATTGCCAAGACTCAGCTTCTTAAAACACATAATTAATGTAGCACTCCCAGATGGGTGTACACCATTGGTAGAGGTAGTGGTAGGGTTAGTCTAACTGCTGTTCAGAAAGATCTAGTGACAAATGTGATGGTTTTGGAAGGTGAAGCATTGGTAATGGAAGCCTCCTTTTTAAACAGTGTTGTTGTGTTTTTCTCTAGGGATCAAACAAGAACAAAGATTCTGAAAATTTGTGAGGCATTTGGTACAAATTGTTATCTTGTTCCTGAAGATATTAATAAGCAGAGGCAAATAACTAGAAAGGTGAATGTGCTTAGCTTAGGAAGATATTATTCTGACTCATCAACATGTATATTCTTTTGTTATGACATATGGGCAAAATGTTGTCATGATAAAATTGAGAATTTTACTGCTACAGTTTCACATATTGCTCTTGGACGACATCCTTATTAGCAGGTCATATTTATACCTAATTGTTCTTACCGGAGATCGGTCGTAGGGGACGATCTGTTAGGTAAGATCGGTGAGCCTCCTTCGCTGGTATGAGTCTTGTATAAGTAATGCAAGTACCTTTGTGTGTATTAGGGTTTTGTTGGGCCTTGGGCCCGAGATCAGTTTATGACCTAATTGGATAGCGAGCCGATGTCGCCTAGCGCATGTCCGAGGTCACTCCGCGCTGTGATGCCGAGCTCGAGCTCGGCATAGCGGTACGGATAGTACACTAGCCCCCCGAGCTCCAAAGATCGTAGGTCGAGGAGTTAAGACCGAGCTCGACAAGGGGTCGTGACTTTTCGCGTACGCCTATTTGTCATGACGCCATGTGTCATAATCGTCACCTCGTTCCCATAACGCGTGGGCGGCGCGGTAGCAAGATTGTATTTTTATTTGTTTGATGACGTGGTCTCTTTGGGTCGATGTGGTGTTCCGATGTCCATGTTCCATGGTCGGGCTGAGGAACTCGGCAATAATGAGCTTATTGCTTGGTTAAGCTGGTAAACCTTTGACCGAGTCAGCAAATTGGTGAGGGACAAGTCGGCAACTCGGCTGGCCAGTACACTTGCCCCCCAAGCACTGAGTGATGTAAGAGCAAAGGGGCTTCTCAGGAGTTCCCAAATTTGTTGTTTGAAGGTTCAAATTCGACCTTGTTAAGTAGATGTGATCTCAAGGTTCGGACTCGACCTTGGCATATCAAGGTTCGAACTCGACCTTGGTTAAGAAAATGTGATCTCAAGGTTCGGACTCGACCTTGGCATATCAAGGTTCGAACTCGACCTTGGTTAAGAAAATGTGATCTCAAGGTTCGAACTCGACCTTGGCATCAAGGTTCGGATTTGACCTTGGCAACGTAATTTGTATTTGAAGGTTCGAACCCGACTTTAACATCAAGGTTCGAACTCGACCTTGGCAAGTCGTCATGGTTAATGTGCCAATACCGAAAATGTATGGGAATGGAGTTGCTTTGTTGATTTATTTCTGAGGTGTGCCTCGTTAAAACCTTCCTTGGCCAAAAAACCTTTTCTTTAGTGAGAAAAAAGGTTGAGGAGGAAAAAGAGTACATCACCTGAATTTACAAGTTAAGAGAAATAAAATTTGAGGTGGGTGGAATTCCAAGTTCCAAATTTTCCTTTAGAGGGGTCTGTTCTTGCTTCTCCCCATAATCGCTAAACAAGGTCGCCAACTTTAAATGTTCGTGGCCTGACCTTGGTCTTGCTTTCCTTGTGGTTTGTCGCGAATTGCCTTGCGGAACTCGGCATGCTCCTCCATCTGGATGTACCCAGCAGTGCGAGCTCGGAGCTCGTCCATGTCGGGAGGAGGTCGTCAGCAAAGGCTATCGATGAAAAGTCCTGGCTTCAACGCCATGAGCATGGAGTGCAGTGCGACCTCGGGGTTTAAGTTTCAGATTTTGACAGAGACGCCAGCGAAGCGCTCCATGAATGTCCTTAATGGTTCGTCGTCGCCCTGTCTAAGGCTGGCTAAGGCGGAGGATGTGATGTGATGAGGTCGGCTCGTTGCGTATTGCGCCGTGAATCGCCTCACCAGAGTGTCGAAGCTATCGACTGATCTCATTGGCAATTGGGTATACCAGGCGAGTGCCGATCCCTTGAGCGAGGTTAGAAAAACCCTACATAGAATAACATTTTCATTAGTGTATAGGTTTACCTGTGTGACGTATAAGTCAATGTGTTCATCTGGATCCGTCGTGCCGTCATAGCGGTCGATGTGGAGGGGCTTCCTGCCGAAAGGCAGAGGTGTCTCCATGATGCCGTCGACAAAGGGATGGCGGCGAATGCTCGTCCGATTTCTAGGAGCTTGAGCCAGAGCGTTGCTGACTTCATGGGCCGAGCTGTTCGTTGGCGCGTGAGACCGATGTGTGGCAAGTCGGGGAGTCGGTGCCCTAGGCGCGGTTGGGGGTTGAGAGACCGAGTGCCCCTCCTCTTCGTGTTGACTACTCGGTTGAGGGGGCTGATCAGAAAGGCGCCGAGGAAGCTGGGCGCGGATACGCTCGTTCTTGGCGCGCAGCGCTGTTAGGTCAGCCTCATTCGCGGTACGCAGCGCCGCTAGGTTAGTTTCATGCTTGGCACGAATGTTTTGCAGGTCGGCGGTGTGTTGTTGCCTCATCTGCTCGACTTGTTCGATCAGCCTTCTCAATGCTGCTTCGTTGTCCATGCTTGTCGTGCGATCTGCGTCGTCTGTTGCGCGTCTACTATGGCTTCGAGTGAATACCATAAGTGTGGCCGATAAGAGTTGTCTTGATCGGCCCCACGGTGGACGCCAAATGTTCTTACCGGAGATCGGTCGTAGGGGACGATCTGTTGGGTAAGATCGGTGAGCTTCCTCCGCTAGTACGCTTGCTGCTCCAAGATGGGGGTGGTACCTGCAAAAGAGACTCCGATGCTAAAGTTAGTGTTTGTGGGTGTATGAGTCTCGTATAAGTAATGCACGTACCTTTGTGTGTATTAGGGTTTTGTTGGACCTTGGGCCGGAGATCAGTTTATGACCTAATTGGATAGCGAGCCGATGTCACCTAGCACGTGTCCGAGGTCACTCCACGCTGTGATGCCGAGCTCGAACTCGGCATAGCGGTACGGATAGTACACTAATTATTTAGGAATCTTGTTGCAATCCAAGATGTTTTGTTTAGAATCTATGTTTTTTGGTATGAATTTGGGCTTAAGGTCCAATTCAAGTCCAAAAACACTCGTTTATTTTCTTGTGTGAAAGTTTATAATTTTATTCAGCTAGACCATTTTATTATACTTACCCATGTTTTCTGGATATGCTTATGTGCTAAACTACATACTACTCCCGTCAGTTATGTAGGCAAATTTTCTAGATATAGTTGTCTTTGTTGCATATACTTTCATTGGTGTTAATAATTGAGGAGTCGATGCAAAATTTTACAAAGATTTCAAGGTCACAAACTTAATGACTCTAAGGTGGATCTTGAGTTTGAGCCTAACTCGGCCGGAGCACATCACCATAAAGAATTAATTTCAGTGAAGTCTTTGTCCTAGGTTTAGTTTCTATTACTCCATATAATTTGCAATATTTTGATTGTATTTGATTCCACGTGTACGATATATATAATAAAAAATGTAATATATATTTTATAAGTAAATAAAATATTTATTAAATTTATTAGTATTTAAAATCTTCAGAGTCAATAAATTACAAATTTAAATGAATGCTTTGATAAATTTAAAAATAATATTATATTTCAAATCTAAAAAAGAAACTTACATGTGAATCTTAAAATTCAAATGAAACTTATTTACAAATTTTAAAATGCAGGAAAATTTTACTTGTAGACTTTCTTGCGGATTTTAAATTTGTAGAAAATTTATTTACAAATTTTCTACGAATTTTTATCTTGTTAATTAAAAAATTTCTTGCCAAAAAAATCACAAGAAACATTCTTGCAAAATAAAAAAATTGCAAGAAAATTTACATGAAATATCCTACAAAATTTAAATCTAAAAAAAAAATTACCTATGAAAGCATTACCTATATGAACAAAAAATCACATGAAAAATCGTAGAAAGCGTGTTTCTTGTGAAATTTTAATAAAATTCCATGGAGAACATGCATGTAATGATATAATTTTTAGTAGTTATAATATTGTACACTCACAACACAAAATCCCCTCAATGGAATCAGAGCTAGTCGAGTCTTTTGAGCACTCATTAGGGGTGAATTTCACTATGTTTTTATTGTGTGGTTGATATATGTTGTTGTTGTGCTATTTTAGTTGTTGTACAACATTATATAGTTCTTATTGATCTCAATATAGGATGATAGGTAGATCTTCTAGATATCATCTTCCACACCTTTTTACGGGAACCAAATGTTTAGGGTCATGGAGATGATGACTACAACTATGCATCAACATAATGATGCTCTGGCTCAGATGAAAGCCAACAGGGTTGTAGCTAAGGAAATTAGACCAGTAATTTCTTAGGAGTACAAGGATTTTACTGAGCTCAAAAAGGGGAATCCTCCTTAGTTTAAAGTTGATGTCGATCTAGCTAGAGGTAGTTGATAATGGATCAATGAGATGGAGAATATTTTCAGGGTGATGGAATGTCTAGAAGACAAAATGTTAACTTATGTAATGTATATGTTGATGGGTGAAGTTGAGTACTAGTGGAAAGGTACAAACAAATGATAGAGGTTGAGGGTATAGTTGTGAATTGGAAAGGCTTCAATATAGTGTTTCTTGAGAAGTACTTTCAAATAATGTAAGATTTGCAAAGGAAGTTGAGTTCTTGAGATTATATAAAATCCATGATTATGTTATGAAGTTTGAGAACTTGGCTCATTTTTATCCTAAGATGTAGAAATTTCAAATAAGGTTTGAGATATGAGTTCATGAGGGTGGTGATTCTTATGGCCATCACTGATTTTCATGCCTTGGTAGAGAAGGCAAAAATAGTTGAGAGATTGGAAAGTGGTAATCAGGTGGCAAAGGCACATGAAGGGCTAGCTGGATCCAAGAAAGGGGGTAAGCAAATGAAACCTTATGACAAACCTCCTCATCATTAGGGGGTTTGTTGCAAGGAGGCCTCCTATGATACCTTAGGAAAGAGTTCCCAATGTTAGATGTTTTAAGTGTGGAGAAGCACATTTGATTAAAGATTGTTCCTTGAAGGAGTTCAAGTGTTTTCAGTATAGCAATTTGGGCACATGGTGAAGAATTGTCCAATGTAGGCTAGTCAAACTAGAGGTGCACTGTGGGTGGAGTGATATACTATTGCAGGTTGGTGTTTGCTTTGATCAGAGTTTCAAGCTTCCACTTCTACAGACATTGTGAAGGGAAAGGGAAAGTCTATTGGTAAAGATGTTTCTATCCTATTTGACTCAGGTGCTACACACTCTTTTATATTTTTTGCTTTTGTAAAAAAGTTGAAGTTATCTGTTAATTCTTTGTGTGTTGATCTACTAGTATTTACTCCTACATATACTTTTGTGATGACTTTTGGGTTGTGTTTGAGATGTCCAGTTGAAGTGTTGGGGGTATTGTTATAAGGTGAATTTGATGTGTTTTCCTTTACTTGAGTTGGATGTAATCTTAGGAATGGATTGGTTATTGGCAATCGTATCCTTCACTACTACAAGATGCATATTCTGCATCGGTTCTCTAAAGTCATCTACATCGGTTCTAAAACCGATGTAGAATAGAGCGACGTAGAAAATGTATACATTTTTACATCGGTTCTGAAAAATTGATGTAGATTTATGCATAAATCTACATCGGTTCTCTGGACAACCGATGTAGATTTAAGCATAAATCTACATCGATTCTCCAGAGAACCGATGTAGATTTATGCTTAAATCTACATCGGTTTTCTTGAGAACCGATGTAGATTGCATTTTTAAAAAAAAAAAATTATGCTTATTTTTGGATTATTTCTGATTACCTATAATGAACATATATATAACTTTAGAAATTTCATATTTCATATTTAATCCCCAAGGAACTGGTTAGGAGCAGTAACCAAACTGAAGAAAGAATATGAAATAAATACAATAATATGAACTAACGGGGGAACCAAAAAAACCCTCTGAGCAGATTTTCCTTAATCTTTCCAATATATATAATTCTCAGCGAGGAATTTACAGCTACCACACAAGTATAAACAATCAAATAAACCAAATATACACAAGTCTAAATACAATAAATAAGGAATTTCCAATATATACACCATGTAAAGCTTTTCAACGACCTTGAATGTTTGATTTCCATCCCGCAAGTGATGTCAGAAATTCCATCACCTGCAGATACAATACAACATTGGTTAAATTATGACATCAAAAAGCAATATCAATATAAACAATCAAACAAATCAAATAAATATAAACTTTGTAGGTTTGGGTAAGTTTCCATAATTCAGCTATCATCATAAAATATCTTTTAGTGGAAGACACTCGCCTCCAAACAAATATATAAAGGCAATATTTTCTATGATTGGTACTTGTTTCTGCATTGGTCCTGGGTTTCCCAAGTGGGTAGGTAGTGTGATAATTTTTTGAAATTTTATCAACAGACATGTTAATGTACTTATGCACGATGAGAATAGAATAATGTCTCATTTCTAAGAAGATTCATGTTGGACTTTTAACTGATTTCTCTGCATTCAAATATATTTAAGTTTGTTTTTTAGAAATGGAAAACTTCTGCTTAGAGTTGGAGTATATCATTACCTATTTTAGAATTTCATTTTAAAAAGTCAACTTTGTTAAAGTTAATTCTTTTATAAGTATTAAATAATAATAGAATTTCTTCAAATAATAATAATAATAGAATTATGCAAACAAATACTTGTAAATAAATTGTAATATTAAAATAATAGTACGTGTTGCCTTTACTTACAAGGGTTATTGTGATCGTTCTGCATGTTCCATATTTGTCAATGCGAAGTGTGGAAACCTCCTTAATTTGTTTGCTTTGCGGGACATGTCCCTTGTGCTTAGTATAGTAGCAGGTTAGACTGGTTAGTACAGTAACAGTAATTGAGCTGCTAGGTTGGGCTATGGCCTATGGGTTTTAGTATTTTAGTTTAGGTCTCGGACTAGATTTTTTTTTAAATGGACTAGTTCATCTAATTAGATTCAGATTCAGTTCAAAAAACAAGAAAACATACAAATTACAAACTAAATTAAATCAAGAGATTACCTCTGAGAGATCACGAAGAGAGTAAACTGCGTTGGTTTCTTTTGGGACGGGGGACACTAAGATGCCACAACCTTTATTAACTTCTCTCAAAGCCTGTAACAGTCCGTTTGATATCAGTATTAAGGAAATCTACAAAGAGGACAATTTGAGGCATGACATTATCTCCAACATATATTGCTAGCACGTCATCACAATTGTGTTGAGTCCTAAATAAATAAAGATGTCTTGTGTCATATACTGTATAACAAAATTAAGATCTTCAAAGAAAGTGACCATTAAATAAAAACAACGAACTCACCAAGTGACTCAAGTAGAAATGTGACAGCTTTTCCCTTATCCCAATCAATCACTGGCCGGACCTGTAAAACCTGAAAATTAGTGAACATAGATTAATAAAAAGTACTTTAAGAGTTATTTTCTCTTAAAAAATGAGTAAAATTTTTGGGCCTTGAAATAGTACCTTCCGCCCATGAGTTAAACGCAAACATGGATAATAATAAGTGTTGTTGAGGGCTTGGATCTGAATCTGGAGGCCCTGGTCGTAGGAAGAGATGGATCTGTCGACATGGCCGAGCATGGAGAAGGTGTCGCCGAGTTGCATGAAGCCGGAGAAGGCAGCGAGGGCGTGATCAACTGCGCCACGAGAGACGTCGGGGACTTGGATGGCGCGTTCGAGGACGGGGACGGCTTCTTCGAAGCGGGAGAGACAGTGAGCAGCGAGGGTTTGGGTGTGGTTGGAGGCTGACAACGTGGGAAGAGTTTGGGTGATTATTGGCGGCTAGGAATGTTGATGATGAGTCTTTGGACGCGAGAACATTAGGGTTTGATTTCTACATCGGTCGTAAACAAAACCAATGTAGAACATCTCCCGGATTTCAATTTTACATCGTTTCTCTTCTCAACCGATGTAAATATGTTTTTATTTTTAATTTATTTACAAGTTTTCCACCGCATTTATGATTTACATCGGTTCTACTATAACCGATGTAAATATGGCGATGTTAAATAGTATTTTTGTAGTAGTGCTTATAGATTATGCAAGGAATGGGTTGCGTTTTCTTGAAGCTGAAAAGGATAGAGTGGTTTCTATTAAGTAAATGGATGACCTCTTAAAGAAAAGGGAGCCTAGTGTTGTGTTGTTTTCTCTTCTCTTGGTGTTAAGATTCAACCATTGATAGGTGCAATTGAAACAGTTAGGGATTTCTCTTAGGTATTTTTAGATGAAGTTTTTGGGTTACTTCTTAATAGAGAAGTGGAGTTCCGTATTGATTTGGTTATAGGTGTAGGATAGTGTTAATAACACTTTACCAGATTGATCTAGTTGAGTTATTGTTAGACGATTTCTTTCAATATGGCAAGCGAACCAATCGTACAAGTAGTAAGTAGAAGTAATAGTCGTTCTTCCTAAGGGACTTGAGTAATACAATGACAATATGTGGAATTTAAGCTAATATAGACTAAAGAATGATTTCATATTTGATGGATTGTAATTTTTAAACTAAAAAGAGCAAAATGATTCAAAGAGAACTTTCATCAAACACTTGAAGTGCAAATTTGGGAATTAACTTATATGAGTGAAATGTTAGGGTTAGACTTCACCAACTTTAATCTCATGCATACAAAACATTCCTTCTCATTCAAACATTAATGCTAGCCCACTAATTTTCTCAAATTCCAATTCCTTGGTTAAAAGAGCCTAAGTCTCATTATCAAATATCAATCCCTTGAATATTTCAATAAATCCACTTGCATTAAGTATAAGGGCTTCACACAACAAGTAACTCATGTTCCATTCCTAGACACAAGTTTACAAGGTACCACATTCTCAAACAAGATTACCAATGATATTCCCACACCAAAAGTAATCACAAATCATGTAATAGTTGATCATTCCATACAAGCATTAAGCACAAGAACATGATACTAACATTTGAATGAAGAAGATAGATATATATATTCAAACAAGTTACATGAGAGTCAAGTTGGCTACATCTAACCCCAACAAAGGGGTTTTAGCAATCCATGTCCATGAGAATAGCAAGATACATCAAAAGAGGAAGAATGGAAGAAAACCAATGAGAAACAAATGATCAATAGGTGAGCCCTAGCTTCTCCCTTTGGTCTGCACTTCGCTCCTCCTTTGGTCCCCTTCTTCCAGACTAATCTCCCTTCACGCTCAGCCAGAAATTATATCAAGCCACGCTACTCTTTAAGTGACGCGCCCAGCGCGCTACGATACGTGCCCAGCGCATGACGGAAGGCGCGTTGGGCGCATGATTGGGCACGCCCAGCGCGATGCCAATTCTCCATCAACTCCCTGATCTAGTGCGCTGAGCGAGTTGAGCTATGGGCTCAGCGCGAGTCTACTGAAAATGGCAGCTAGCTTCATTGGAGTTCAATCCAGCCTCTTCTCTTTGACATGGCCTCTTCCAACATGATTACCTATCCAAAAAATCACAAAAAATGAGGATTAATTATGTATAACCCTGTGTGTGTAACCAAAGTGTCTTTACTTACAAAAGAGAAGTTAAATTGAGGATTACACAAGTCAAAAGTTAGGAAAGAGTTGAATGTGTTAACAAATTTGGTACTAGAATGTATGTAAAAATTAACATTATCAGTTATTCAAGTTGAAGAAACAAGTTGAGGATCTCTTGGTGAAATAAATGATTAAACTTAGGGTTTCTTTGTGTGGTGCACCCGTGTTTTTGGTGAAGAAGAATAATGGTAGTGCTTGACTATGTGTTGATTACAAGCAGTTGAACAAGTTGATTATCAAGAATAATATTCACTACCAAGGATAGATGACTTGATGAATCAATTTAAAAGAGCTTCATTATTCTCCAAGATTGATTTCAGATCAGGTTATCGCTAGATAAAAGTGAAGGATGATTACATATCTAAGACTGCTTTCAAAACTAGGTATGATCATTATGAATATGTTGTGATGTCATTTGGTGTAACAAATGCCCCTATTATTTTCATGGAGAATACGAATAGGATCTTCAATCCTTTTTTGGATAAATTTGTTGTTGTATTCATTGATGATATTCTTATCTATTGAGGATCCTTGGAAGCACACAAGGAGCATTTGAAGTTGGTGTTGGAGGTGTTATAGGAAAAGAAGTTATATGCTTAGTTATCCAAGTGCGATTTCTGGCTAAGTGAAGTAAAGTGTCTCATGATTTATGCTAAATAGACTTTGCGGATCCAACTAAAGTTGAGACTATGTTGCAGTGGTGGTGTCTTAAGACAATTATTGATATTAGGATTTTCATTAGGTTGGCAGGATACAATTGAAGATTTATTGAAGGTTTCTCAAAAATAGTAATATTTCTAACCAAACTTACTAAAAAGGATCAACATTTTGTATGGATAGATGATCGTGAATAAAGTTTTCAAGAGCTAAAAAAGTTGACTATCTCTCTAGTGTTGATGTTACTTGACTTTAGTGAACCTTTTGATGTTTTTGTGATGTTTCTCACCAAGAGTTAAGATATGAATTGATGTAGAAAAGAAAAGTGGTGGTGTATGCTTCAAGGCAGTTGAAGATCCATGTGAGTAATTATCATACTCATGATCTAGAGTTGGCAATCGTGGTGTTTTCCTTGAAGATTTTGAGACATCATCTTTATCGAGAAAATTTTAATGTGTTCAATGGTCATAAGAGTTTGGGGTAGTTGTTTATCATAAGGAGTTGAATATAAGGCAAAGGATGTTGATAGAATTCCTTAAAGATTATGACTTTCAATTGATGTATTGTCCTGGTAAGGTTAATGTAGTAACACATGTTGTGAGTAGGAAATCCATTTACATATCATCCATGATAATTAAGGCATTGGAGTTAGTAGAAAAGTTTAGAGATTCAAATATGTCTATTGTGGTTGCTCCAAATCACATTAATTATGGGTTGACTACCATTACTAATGAGTTATTGAACAAAAAATGAATGAGAAGCAAATGTAAGATCTGAGTTTGTTGGAGACCAATTAGAAGGTTGTTAGGTTCATAGAAGGTTGTAGGGTTTGATGTTGATGAAGATGGGGTTTTGAGGTTCAAGAGAAAGATTTTCCTACCTCAAGATTCTAAGTTGAAGAATATAGTTTTGGAAGAAGGGCATAAATGTCAACTTAGTTTACATCCTAGCATGACTAAGATGTACCATGACCTCAAAAGATATTTTGGTGGTTTACTGTGAAGAGTGAGGTAGTGGAGCAAGTAACAACTTGTTTGAATTGTTAAAAAGAAAAGGTGGAACATAAAAACCAGGTGGGTTGCAAAAGTTAATGGAGATTCCTTAGTGAAAATGGGAGAACATTACTATGGGTTTCATTGTTAGTTTGCCTAGGCTTGCTAGGAATAATGATGTTATATGGGTGATAGTTAGTTGATAGGTCGTCAAAATATGTTACTTTGTTCTTATTAACATCAAGTGGTCTTTATAGAAACTAACAAGTTGTATATCAAGGAGATAGTACATTTACATACAGTACCTTATAATATTATATCAAATTAGGATGACAGGTTCATTTACAGGTTTTGACAAAGTTTGCACCAAGCCTTAGGAACAAAGTTGAGATTGAATTTTGCTTATCGATGGACAATCTGAGAGGACAATCTAATCTGCGAAATGTTTGTTGAAAGCTTGCATGTGAGATCAACTTGGTAGTAGGGAAGCGGTTTTATCGTTGGTAGAGTTTACATATAATCATAGTCTTCAAGTTGTATTGGTGTGATGCCTCTTGAAACCATTTATATAGAGATCATTTAATGGAAAAAATTGTTAAGTTCAATTATGCCACATGTGACACCATGTGACAAGAAAATGTTTGGTATCAAGTATATTAGCTTTACACACACATATATAATGAGTTCATGTATGCAGTTAAATTAATATTTTCTTTGTTCTCTATTATAAGCAAGAAAAAAATTGATTTTACACATATTAAAGAAATTAATTATTTATATTAAATTTTATTAATCCTATAATATTTTTTCTAATTAAATTGTCCTTGTTATAAATGATAAAAAAAAATAACTGAAATCGCCATTGTTACTTAGGCCATTATTGCCTTTAGATTGAGATATGATTTGTGCAAGTTGGAATGAATACCAAACATTTTCTTTTACATGAGTCTAAAATGCTCGTAACAATCCTTTTTTTTTTTAATTTCAAAACAAGTGGTTTCTTCTCGTTACTTATGCCTAGTGAATCTTTTGCAAGAAAAGTGAATCGCTCAACTTGAAACATTTTAAAACTAGAAATCAGCCAAATACTCATGCCTAATGAATCTTTTGCAATGGAAAAGTGAATGCTCAACTTGAAACATTTTAAAACTAGAAATCAGCCAAATAATTTAATGCGAGGATCCAAGTCCATTGGATTTGCGTAAGTGTGTGTAACGGGCAACGCCCCACCCGACGCACATTTCTAGCTGGCAAACCTGTCTCTAATTTCTTTTCTATATTATTTTTTATTTGTACTTTTTTTTCCCCTTTCCTTTTAAGGTGTCCCCACCTGATCGATTGTCACAAAAGCCATGATTTGGTACCTATCGTTAGATTTCCTTTGAACTTGTAAATAAATATCGTGTTACTTCTTAAATGTGCATCTCGTGAACATAAGGGTGACTGGGTGGGCAGGATTGGATTTCTTTATTTTCTTTAAAGCACAGTTCATGCGCATTATATTCTCTCCTTCTCCAGTTCTCCTTGAATAGAAAGACGTAATTACATGCACTAAAAAATAGTTAGCTCAAGTGCTTGTGTTCTTTAATTAACAACGAAACCTTAAACTTTAAACTGTTTTAACTAAAAGTATCATCTTATTTTTAAGGAGTCAGTGAAAAAAAGTTACGCTCCATAAATTTTTTTTAAAAAAAAAAACGTGATTACCATCATATGTATGGGATTTTTCAATCATAAATATAACATTTTATTCATGAAAATGTAAGATACTTTAAAGTGAACACTGCGTGCCAAAATAATAATAAAAAAAAGTGATAAATTAAAAGATAGAAAATTCAATAAATACTTGCATAATATTGCATTGGGCGGACAAAGAAAAAGAACTAAAAAATCGTGTATATTTCTAAGTTATATATCTTTACTTCCTGGCATGTCACATTAGGCTAGAGAGAAAGTGCACATAGGAAGAATCCAATAATCACGAGGTAAAATTTTGAAGTTATGCAAGATGAGGAAGAAGGAGACATTGGAATGTTGCCAAAAACAGTTGGGTACGAGGGTGCGTATTCAGGCAATGAATTTGAAGCAATTGCGTTGTTTCCCCCAACTCCCACAGTTATATGAAGCTTTTGGTTCTTTTGGCAATGTCCAGCCTCTCCACTCGTAAAATACATGTCCCCCTCTGATGTAATGTTAAACAAAGAGTTGCCGTTGTTCATGTACAAAATCGGATCTTTAAGGTTGCAGCTCTTGTAGGATTCCGCTGTTACTTGAATCACTGAATCTTGACTTGGTGGGTATAAAAATACTGCACATGTAAAAAATATTAATGAGCTATATATATTAAGAATATGTTATCTTAGATTCAAGAACTTAGACTTACGGAGAGAGTCACCAATGGTGAGGTTGTGATATTTGGACCATTTGTCGTAGACTTGATTATTTGTTGAAGTGGGGATTCCCCAGGAATCTAGATCTCCAACTTTGTATTGGTAACATTGAACCTTGGCGTTGATTTGGACCAGAGTGACCAAGAGAGGCACCAAAAAATTGAGGTTAAATCTAGGACTCGTAAGATTCGGCATTTTGGTTCGGTTCTCCCTCACGCAAACTTGGATTTTCTTAGATTTAAGAATTGAGGGAGAGGAGAGAGATAGAGGGCGACATGTAATTTGGCCAGAGTGTGCCGACAGCAAGCTTTTGATAGTGACATCACGAAGGTTAATTTACCTCGGTGCCCTCTTCCTCCTAATCAAAACATTCAAAGTTCTAATAGTAATATTAGTATATGATCTATCTAATTGGACTGCCAATTATTTAATTTTTCTTCAAGACATTAACTAAAAAAAAACTATTCAAGTATATGAACAAAATTGATGATTTGGGTAAAACTAACAAGACAGCGAGAATGAGGACATGGTAAATAGAAATGGAATATTTTCTTAAGTTAAAAGTTTAGATATATCATACGATGTCATCAGATCTAAAATTATCAAATATTTATAATCTTAATATATAATATATATTTAAGTTTTTCAATCTACGAGACTAATTAAGAATCATATCATATAGTGAATACTATGATCTTTATGGTCTCAATCATTATATAATAGGTATTTATGTGATTCAAGATCATCTAATAATTTTTCTCATATAATATTAGAGCTAGCTACTAATTTTTTTTTAAATATTTTCAAATATAAATTTTAAAATTCGTAAAAATATATTATCTATAAAGATATTACTTAAAAATAAAATTTTGTAAAAGAATTTGTAAGAATCACATCTTCTACGAATTTTTATATAAAATTTATATAAAAAAATTACATGTAATAAAAAAAATTTAATAATAATAAAATTACAAACCATTTATTTCATCTTTAATGTAAGTCTCCATGAAAGAATATAAAACACAAAAAAAAAAATATTAAATTTCATTATAAATGCTACCACCAGTAAAAATTGAGTTAAACTTTAAATATAAATTAAATATGGCATACCGTTATTAAAAAACAAATGGCATGAGTAAAATTGAATGTTTGCTGACTTTAGAGGGTTAAGACCGGAAAATAGATAAATTATTATAAGGCTCGTAATTCGCACATGTGCCAGCTGGTATTTGTTTGTAAGGTTTTGTAGTCTCATTGTGTATCGGTATCACAGTGTAACATAATCATGTGCTGCACACTGCACAGGAATGGCACGAAGCAAGCCGTCCAGGCATCTCACATGGTTTATGTACCAATCTGGTCGAGAATACGAACTCGACTAAAGATATCATCAAGTTAATCAAGTTAATATGTCGACTTATATTAATAGTTAGTTATAAAATAAATATAATCAAGTTGACATATCAATTTGGTATTCATATTTACGATTAAGATGAAAATAATTTATTAGTACGTCGATTATGACGGTTATTAGATAAAAAAAATGAACAATTATGATTAACAAGAAAAAGGTATATATAACATATTAAACGAGAATATCAAACAAATTAAACTAATTTAATAGTTAGAATTCATTTTGTAACTATCTCCTTCATTTGGAATGAGGAATAAAGACTATTTCATCCGATATCAATTTACAAGGATTTTATTGAATAATCTTATCATTTAAACTTATTCTAGTAAGGACAATTTACGAAATAGAATATTAGGACGAATGCAAAATAACGAGTAGATTTTTGGAACTAAGAATCCAAGTAACACTATATATTGATCCATAACTATTCTTGCTAAAAATGAGTGTAAAAAATCTTCAATTGAAAGTCTTTAGTCTTGAACTTCTCGATCCTCGACTTTAAGGTGTCAGGTGATTTGTACCTACAAAAGGGACTCTAATGCCTAAGTTAGCAAGTATCCAGAGTGATTGAGTGTATTATATATGTTACGTACTTTATGGAGGTTGGATGCATGTATATTTATAGGTAAATAATTGTTACTGTTGAGGATCTGGTCATTAAGTGTATTCAAGAACTTTTATTGTCTTGTAATGACCAGGTGTTACTCTTTGTAACGATTGCAATGAGGGTACAACCTTGGTCAAGTTATCCTCAACTATGCATTTCAGTTGTTATGATGTTGATAGCCGAATACACACACACACATATATATATATTGGATCTTCCAAGAACTTTCGCAATTGGGGGCCAACAAGTTATCGACCCCGAGACTTCTCCGATACACAAGTCGCCTAAGTCTTCGACGTGTAGGAGAAGAATTTAGTGACTGACTTTCAAATTTTTCGCCTAAAATTTGATTACTTTCACCATTGTCGCCTTTCGAGTATCCCAACGTTTTAATAGTCACATCAAATGTAATGATGATATATGTCACAAACCGTAGGAAGGTTTTGAAGTATGCGGAAAAACACATAGAAGGGGGGGGGGGTTGAATATGTGTATATGTGAACAAAGGAATTTTAAAAATGTTTCGCAAAAAACTTCTTCTTCGTCCAGTAAAAATGTTATTTTGAATGCTTAGCAGTAACTGTTCAGGATTGGTTCAACCAACATATTTTTGCGTTTAAGAGTTTATCGTCTGCACAGTGAAAATGATTCTTAAACGATAACCGTTCTTTAACATAGTAAATTAAACAAGTGTGGTTTTTGTCTGAAGTTTGTTGTAATGGACGATAAGCATTGGACGAAGTTTTCAGTATATTAAATCAACTGAATAAAAGTGCATCTGAAACATTGAAAAATAGTGCAAGTATTTTTATACTGGTTCACTCAAACTGAGCTACGTCCAGTCTCCTTCAAATGAAGGGTTCCACTAGATATTCAATAAAGTACAAGTATTCTTTGTTCAGCCTCTTCAGGCTCGCAGTGAGTATTATAGACCACCCAGGTCACGACCACTCCTAGTCCCAAGTATTCTCAACCACTCCTGGTTCGTCAACTTCACTCATCGACGCTAGTATTCTTTAATCAGCCTCTTCAGGCTAGCAGTGAGTATTCTAGACCACCCAGGTCACGACCACTCCTGGTCCCAAGTATTCTCAACCACTCATGGTTGGCCAACTTCACTCATTGGCTCTAGTATTATTTGTTTAGCCTCTTCAGGCTTTCAGTGAGTATTGTCGACTACCTCCTAGCTCGCTAACTTCACCATTAGCGCTAATATTCTTTAATCAACCACTTTTGGCTCGTAGTGAGTATTCTTTGACAAGCCTCTCCAGGCTTTACAAGTATTCTTTCCCTGGCCTCTTCAGGCTTTACAAATGATGAATATATGGTCTGGTTTGAGTGTTTGGTTTACTTTCACAGAGAGGATACAATAGTTTCTACACTCACTAAGGTTCATGTTCCTAAGTTATACTTAGAACTCCTTAGTCTACAGAGATAAATACACTATGGTACATTTGACTCTACACGCTCTATCTCTGGTTTCTTTTCTTCATGGGATGGATATCACTCTACGCTAATGCCAACCGTTTAAGGTTTGAAGTCGTGATATATATATAGTCTTGTAAAATTTTTCCATTGCAAGTGTCCGTTGAAGTGGATGTAGTCATTCATAATTAGTTTGATCTTTCATTTAATGTAGAAGATCTCGCATTAAATGTTGCTTCCTATTTATAGATATTGTGTGAAGTCTTCTTTCCTTTATTAACAGTTGTGTCTGAGTTTAGCAGAGACCTAGGAACTTTTTGTCCTTTTTCGGTCATCGTAGCTTCAAAGCGTCGTCCTTTTCTGAAAAAGTGATGCACTCTTTTTGACACATGCATGCTTTTACTTTTGCGTGTTTTTCTTCTTCTTTGTCTTTTCTTTTAATCACGCGATTACGTTGAGAGCTTTTATATGATCGTAGATGATGCCTTAATTTGTCCTTTGAGACTTGATTCTTCATAGGCTTGCATGGCAGTCTTCATCTGCGTCTGATAGTCTTATGCGTCTCAAGTTTTGACCTTCGTCTGACTTTTCATTGACTTTCTTCTGATCTTTGACCAACCTTCGTCTGGTCAGCTGTGCAAATTCCATCTTGGATGCTTTGTCTTAGATTATTCATCGTCTGATACTTGTGTTGACTTTTCGTCTGACTTGGGATCATTTTCCTTCTTGTGCTTGGTTTGGCTTCGTTGAGTTTTCCATATGATATTTGAAGCTTTTGTCTATGTTCTTGATTTAGTCTTGTTCGATATTTGTTTTGGCCTTCCATTTGATACTTCAAGACTTTGACTAGTAGTACGCTTTGTCTTGTATTTGTTGTCTTTTCGTCTGGCTTGAAGTTTTTCTTCTTTTCTCTTGGCACGTGCACATTCTCTATTCTTCAACTTGTTTGTACTTATGTTTTTCTGAAACACTAACATATTTGTTAGAAATAACAACATATATTATATTTTTCTCATTCAAAACCTTGCTGGGAATTACTTCGTCTGACTTAACATGTTTTAGAGGTTAATTAAGAGTAAGCGTGAAACACACTTCAAAATGCAAAGGGTTATGTCTCTCTTCACTATTGATCTTAAAATGATCCAATAGTCCTGGGAGATACGACATTTCATTTCTTAGGACTTATCTCATTTATAAATAAGGTCTTTTTGTCCTTTCAAAGATTTACCTACGACCTTCGACTTTCGAATATACCAAGTACCAACCTTCCCTTCCTTTAGTGTTTGAAAATTGAGTACCAATACCAGGTATGCCTTCTTCCACTCATTCTTTATGAGTTCTAGCAATAGTATGGAGTCTCCCTTATTTGGTGGCATGGAGGTCAACATTATTTCTAGTCCATCCTCCTTTTTGTTTTCAACATCTTCCTCCTAAAACTCAATTTATAATTCTTCCTCTATTAAGAGACCTTTAGTGCTTTAATATTTTTTGTTAGGCTAGGACCTCCTCCAACTGGTGAGGTACCCATTAAGGTTGAAAATAACAGAGTTAAGGATTGAGAATCCAATCCCAATAAGGCAGCTTCCCCAACCTATAATCCAAATCTTATGTTGGTTTCCAACTCCAGGGTTGGGTTTGTCTTGCAGACAAATGAATATTCAGAGTGGGTTTTAGATAAGGTGTTTAAGTACCCTTCTAAATTTATAGATGAATCATTGTTGGTCCATTTTCTTCATTGAACCAATATTGTGAAATATGGCATGGAAGATTTCTTAGAAGTCCAAAGGTCGTTGGTCGAA